CAAAGGATATTGTCATCCCGTGATATTCTAATCAAAACTTTTTGGAAGAGAGAAATTTTATTGAATTTTGGAAAATAAGAAAAATCTCGTCGTACCACTCTTATCAATTTCTCCTCTCTACCCCGTCCGTTCGATAAACAACAATTTCTCAACCCTCTGTCACCCCCGTAATCGTGAAGGATTCGTAAAGCAAGTTAAATCCGACGATGAAGATTGAAATAGCCGATATAAAAGAATAATCGACATATAAATATGTGGATAAACGAATGAAAAAGTTTTTAAACCAAATGCCCGGCATGAAAACCCTCCGTAAACTGTTTCATATATATAACGAATATATAACGAATAGAGACGATTTAAAAACAAGTTTCGAGCACAAAATCGGTTCCATCAGGTCCGATTAAAAATCCGAGCGATTCGTTCATTTAGAAACAGGTTACGTCCGATCGAGAGACAGGGGAGAGTGAGGGAGGGAGGGAGGGAGGGAGGAAGAGAAAGAGAGAGAGAGAGAGACTCAATTTACACCGAGGAATCGAAGTTCCCATTACGAGGGGAAATAGAAGCAAATCATTTGACCAAACACAGTTCCCATTCAGCGTTTCATCAATTAAATAAATTCGACAAGAATCGGCGACGGGGTCAGGGTATTAACCCCTCGTATTCTCGATTCAATTTTCTGCCTCCTTCCCTTATTCGTCCGCGATCGGGAAGAAGGGGTGGGGATATCGCGAAAAATTTGAAAAGGGGAAGGATGAAATTGTAAAAACTGGGCGAAATAAATATTGTAAAAATTGGGCGATGCAGCGTGATAAAAAGAGAACAATTGTTGCATTACTCATTCTTTTTATAGAATATAATTTAAAAATTTGGCAATTATCTTGAAAAATTAGAAATATACCGTATCGTTGAAAAATATCCGAACACTTGTAGAATGAATTTGCCAATTCAATAATAATTAGAATCGATATAGAAAAAAATTATTAGGATTAATTAGAAATTGAGAATAATAATTAAACCTCGAGGAATTTTCTTCGTTCCTTAGAAAATCTTAACTCGATTTCTAAGAAAAAAAAAAAAACTTTTTAATTGCCTACTTCGCTCCTTCCACCGTTCGTACTGTTTATCGTTGTTGCCATACCATATATTGCCAATTTACGTTCGTTAGATCATCATCACCACAACAAAAATATTCAACTATATACATAAGACAGAAAAAATAATTAAACACAATTTCTTAATAAATACGTCCTACCTATAAAAAAAAAAAGAAAGAAAAAAAAAAGATAACACGGCTTTGAATACCTTTCGAGCACAGGTACAACACAATTGGAAAAGTTATTTAGGACAGAGAAGTTATGTGGCATCCTCCGTTTCTTCCATTCCTTCCATTCCATTCCTCCATCAATCCGCATAGGCACAACACACGATGCTACTACACGGTCATTTCCGGCGTCGATAAGATCGGCCGATTCGTCGCAATTAGTAATCACGCGTGCACTCCGTAACGCGGTTGCGCAACGCGTTGTTGCACGCGTGCAACCGCTCTTCTCTCACTGCACGTGAATTCTCGACACATCGACCAACGTACCTTACGTACGTATATACGTTACACATACCACGGCGCAACATTATTATTTCTCCGCCGATTCTCTCCCCGTCCCCTCCCTCCTCGTCCACGCTCCCGCG